TCATAGAGGTACACCTACAGAACGCCAAGCCCTAGACCCTAAACATCGTATTAGCTAGTGCTGTCTCCCTTTACCTACGTTGCTAGCGCAGTGCAATCTGTTGCTGCTGCTGCTGCTGCCGCCGGAGGGGGCGGGCGTCTCCAGCTAGCCAGGCTAGATCCAGGTGGCTAGCTAGCTAGCTACCTAGCTGTAGCTGCTGGTTGGAAGCAGCCTGCCCTCTCAACAGCAACAACGGGAGGCCCCCGGGCCCTACGCCGTACGAGGCGCAAAGCACAGACTCTGTAAATATCATACAATGGTATATAGTAAGTACTGCGTATTATAATACTATTTGAAGGTGCGCAGCGCTAAGCATTTCAATGTTGCAATAATAATAATGGTATGATTGTAATAATACTAATAATAATAATAATAGCAATAAAACGACAACAGAAATAGTAATAATAAGATTGGAATAATGCTTTGTACTTCTTGATCGTAAATAATATATTTTTGGAGTTTGTTCGAAAGTTAAGCTGCTGATGGCGGCGAGGCACGTAAAGGGCGTTCCTGGGCCCCCCTCCTCTTATCTATCATATAACACCAACATATAGGAGCATGCAACAGAAGGTAGTGAAGAACAGGAGGAGGAGAAGAAAGAGAGGCCCTCTAGCTCCTCTGGGCCTCGAAGGCACGCCAAGCACAGATAGCAGCACTCACTCATTATACGAGAAACCAGCAACAGTAGACTACGGCTGAGGAGGGTTTAGGGTTTAGGGTCTAGGGTTTAGGGCTTCGAAGAAAGCGTGTTATAGAGGGACAGAGAGAGAGACATAGACACAGAGAGACACTCCCCATATACCCAGATCGCATGCAGAGACACCTTAGATGTCTTCTTGTTCATTGTACGCAACAACAGCAAACGCAACTAAAATGCATGCATCACTCAGCAGCAAAACAACTCTTACGCCCATGCCTCTCCTATCTCCTCCTCCTCTCCCTGTCTCTCTTCCTTCTGTCTCCTTCCAAACGCCGGGAGACAGACAGCCCAGCAAGGCAAAGGAGACGCTGCGAGCCTTGCATTAATCCTAAACCCTAAACCCTAAACCCTCTATGTATGAGCTGCAAGGGGTGGGGTATCAAGAGTAGATACGGGCTGCCTTTATAGTACTTCATGTTGCACTGGCCGCTGTTTGCTGCTGCTCGGGGAGCACCACCACAAGCCACCAAATAGTGAGGAGACAGCAAATGAAGAGGAGACAGCAAATCAAAAGGAGACACCGAATAACTAAGAGACAGCAGATAATGATGAAGAGACAGCAATCATACTAAAAGGAGATGTCAGTCCTCGTACCTCTCAACAGAGGCGGCCATTTGCAGATCTGCACAGGCAGAGAGGCAAACACAGGAGACAAATAAACCTCATTTCTCCCTTGTAGGAACAACTGTAGAGACAACAGCCGCAGCAACAACAGCGATGATAACAAATGAAATGCGAGCAGCATCAGCAGCACCCCGTGCAGCAGGCGACGCCGCAGCAGCAACCGTCTCTGCATGCTACTGGTGCAGATGTGCTGTTACTGCTTCTGCTGTGGCTGCTGCTGCTGAAACTGCTGGTGTTGAGTGCGTTTCACCCTTTAACGGTACTTGCTGCATCCAGCAGAAGATCCTCTCAGCACCTCCCACATGCACGGGCCCCAACAAGCTGTCTTGCTGCCACTGGGGGCCCCTAGGAGCGACACAGCCGTGCTGGGGGCAGCTTGTGGGGCTCTGCAAGACACAGAAGGAATGAGGCATAAAGAGAGACCCCCACCCCATACCAGCAGCAGAAGCAAGAGGCAAAGAACGAGGAAGAGCGTTAAGGTACGGGCCCCCCGAAGGCGGCACTGCAGCAGTAAACTGACAGACACAGGGGACATGCTGCCCGTGCCCAGGCTGTTGCTGCGGCTGCTGCTGTTGCACCTGCACCTGTGGCACCTGCTGCTGCTGCTGCTGCTGCTGCTGTAGGTGGCGGTGCAGCAGCTCAGCATTAGGGTGATGATGACAGAGACAGGGAGCCATCGGGGCAGGGGAGAATGAAAACAGAGCAGGTGAATGCTGCATCGCGAGCTCGCATGCATTCTGTGCGAAGCTGCTGTAAGGATGAGGAGGGGGGGCCCCTCCCATCTGCTGCAGCCGCCCCGGCACAGCAGCAGCAGCAGCAGCAGATCCCAGGGGCCCCCAGTTGCTGCATGCGGGGCCGCAAGCCGGCAGCTGCAGCGGGGGACCCAGCGCCCATGAGCCCTCCTCTGCAGATACGGTATCTCCAACAGAAGGTGACGGGGAGGTGCCTATACACCACGCAGGTGTCCCCGACTGAGGAGGTGTCTCTAAAGCCGACTCTGCGGCCCCACAGTTTCTAAGGCCTGCTGCTGCTCCTTTGCTGCCGTTTGCTGCTGCTGCGTAAGACAGAGAACCCTGAGATGCAGATACACTTAACGAAGGAGTTTCTAAACCCTCACGAGACAGCCGGAAACCACGAAGCACACGCGCTCCACTTGTCTCTTGCTGCTGTTGCTGCTGTTGCTGCTGCTGTTGCACCTGTTGTTGTTGCTGCTGTTGCTGCTGAGCCGCTGACGACTTCGCCGGACGGGGAGACCCTGTACGTCGATGGCGCTGCTGCTGCGAGCCTCCCTCCTGCTGCTGATGATGCTGCTGCTGCTGCTGCTGCTTGGGTACCTTGCGAGTGCCCCCGGACTTTCTGCGCGGGTGTGCTGCTGCTTCGACTGCAGCAGAATTTTGCGTGAGGCCGTTGTTTTCAAGGGCTTCCTCTTGCTGCTGCTGCTGCTGCTGTTTTTGCTGCTGCGGCTTCTGCCGCTGCTGTTCGTGCTGCTGCTGGTGTCGCTGTTGCTCATGCTGCTGCTGCTGCTGCTGCTGCTGCTGCTGATCGGCGGGGAGAGCCCTCAAGGTGTCGCAACCCTCCTCCGCAGATTGTTGCTGGTGGTCTGTTGAGTGTCTGAACTTCAGCCGCTGCAGTGCCAGTCTGAGTTGTTTGTCTGGTGCGGGTGTCTCCTCGGCTATCTCCTTCTTGCTGTCACTCTTCGTTCCTGGGGCTGCTGCTGTCTCCTCCTCTGCACGTTTGCTGCCGTTGTTCTCCTGCGCGTTGTGTTTAGCTGTCTCCTGCAGCCTGCCATCTCGAAGCGTCTGCAGCTGCAGCTCAGCAGCAGCACCTATAGCTGGCGTGGTGTCCCCTTCTTCTTCAGTTGCTGTAGTTGTCTCCTTTGATCCTGTCCCTTGACTCTGAGACCCAAGAAGAAACGCTATGTTCTTCCGGGCTAGCTGGCTGTACATACACCGCAACGCAGCAAACACAAAACAAAAACCCACATCCCTAAACCGCACCTTCTCCCCTCCATCTGCAGTGCTTGGCTGGCTGCGAGCCGCCACCCGTCCGCAGCTAGCTGGCGAGCTAGCAAACTACCGGGATAGCTTGGGAGGCTCAGCGGAAGCAGCAGCGAGCAGTTTGCAGCAATAAGGGCGCATCTATATATATATATATATATTTACTTATTTATTTATACATACATATGCATATATATGTATATGGTGCATACATATGTCTACACTGATGCACGTACACTAGCATATACATATGCATATTATATAATACATATTACGTATTCACATGTATTTGCAGATGATCTGATATATAAGAAGTATTACTGTGCCCGAGTGGCCAAGTACAAATCACAAACAGTATACACTGCAGCACCACCCCCTTAATATATATCGTATGATATGGCTGTGCAACCATTTGGGTGTATGTATAGCTGGAGGCTGTTCTGTGTTTCATGCATGCAATACTGTGAGGGGTATAAACAAGCATCCTGAAACGAACGAGGGGCGGCATGCGTCTCCACAGACAGCTGAAGAGACACCTGAAGGGGCTGGCTGTGAGGTCTCTCTTCTTGTGCTTACATTGCATGCATGCACGAGCAACAAAAGGGAGACGTAAAGAAGAAACAAAGAAGAAACAAAGACAAAAACAAACAGCAATAAAGCTCACGTCTTGGGGCGTAACTCCTGAACTCCGTGTGCATGACGACAAACTTCCCGAGAAGGGCAACTGCCAGCCAGCCACAACTGACATAACTCTGTCTGAAAAAGAGAGACAATAAACAGCAAACAAAACAATAAGAAAAAGCCAGGAGACAATGGACAGCAAACAAATCAATAATAGGAGACAGGAGATGCTCGATAGCATACGATGGCAAACGAAACGAGACAAGAGGCACTCGATAGCAAGCAAGACAATAAGAGACAGGAGACACTCAACAGCAAACAAAGCAATAAAACGAGACGGAAAAAACAGTTTTAATCGCAATGAAAAGGAATAAAGCAGCCAGCACAACACACAATAGGGAGAGGAGTGACCATAAAGTACAAACAGGCAGAAACAATGAAGAAAAGAGCGGAGCGAAAAAGGAGACAATTGGCAGCAAGCAACAATAATGACAACGAACAGGAGACACTCTAAGAGGACACATCAGCAAGGACAACGTGCAGCGGAAGGAGACAAAGGAGACAGTCTACACCACGAACGGCAGAGGCAGCAGACACACCCCAATACAGCACAACACTTCAGATAAATAAGCAGGAAACAATCGAAAGGAAACCAATAACAAGGGATAGGCGACACTCAACACAAGCAGCAGCATTCAGAGGCAGGAGACAAATGAAGACAAGCAAAAGCATCCACAGAAAAGGGACACTCAAGACAAACATGATGCCTAGAGCCCTCCCTGCCTTAGGATGACTTAGTTATACTTAGAAGACAAACTGAAGGAAGAAAAGCAAATAAACAACAAAACCTCACCTTGTAATAACCTGTCGTGTGCCGCAACTCCTCCGCCCCGTGGGCAAAATTGCAGTCATCGTTGGTGCATTCGCCCTAAAGAAAAAAACACCGAAACACCGAACCCCAATTCAGGTGTACATACACCTTAAGTAAATGCTCATGCACCCCAAATATGCTTGCATTAACCCCAACCAGGTGTCCATACACCCCATCCAGGTGTACATATTACACCCCATCCAGGTGTACATACTACACTTTATCCAGGTGTGCATACACCTTATCAAGGTGTATATACACCTTATCGAGGTGTAAATACAATACACCCCGACTAAGTTCCCATGCACCCGAACCAAGTGTGCATACACCGGAACTGGATATACCCCCAAAATTTGTGGTGTATATTCTCTTTCCTTCCTCTCTGCCGGCCTGGAGGTTCGGCAGAGGCAGGCAGCAAAGACACAGAACAAACCAAAAGACATAAGAAAGGATTGTTGCTTCCACTTACTCGCTTAAATGCATCACAAAGCTTCGTTTTGTATAAAGGCAACCAAGGACGCAGCTGCTCGGGTGTATGCGCATAATTGCACAAGTCCCCGTGGCGGCAACAGCCCTCAGCAATCCACGGACACATCTTTATCCTGTGTAAAAAATATAAAACATATGAAACAAGTAAAACAAGTAAAACAAATAAAACAAATGCAAACATATACAGACAAACAGAAGTAGAAATACCAACCAAGGGACAAATCTTTATCATGAAAAAGAGAGGAACATTACAAATAAAACAAATACAAACAAGTATAAACAAACATAAACAAATACAAACAAATATAAACAAATAGAACAAATATAAGCAAATATAAGCAGATATACAAATAGAGACCCATACGAATATAAACGAGGCGAAACATCTCAATCTTAAAAAAAGGAAGAAGATTAACACCACAAATAAAACAAATTCACATAAATACGAACAAATACAAACTACAGACAGAGAGA